CTTTAGACTCCCTGCTTCCTTACTATCTCTTGATAAAACACTGTACCATGTCACAGCTTTATTCACCTTTCTACCCACCTGAAATGTGTCCTACAGTGGTTTTTCACTTGCAGATTGTCTTTTAGGTTGAAATTATATTTGATTAATTTGAGAGTAGCGATGGTCTTTAAAATGAGCGTTTCCTGGTTTGTCTGGGTAGTTTCTGGGATATTTAAAATGTAATTTTCAGTGAAATTTCCTTCTGTGGGGTGACTACCAAGCTGGGTGGTCACCAAGCTGGAGGGATGTTACAGGACATTGCAGTAGAGAATTTTGTTTTTAAATTGGGTGTAGGAAATACCTTGGCTGTCCAGTCTTTTGGACCAGGGATTGAACCTGGGCCATGACAGTGAAAGCACTGAGTCCTAATCACTGGACTGCCAGGAAATTCCCCCTGTTAGGGTTCTTTTGAAATATGTTACTTCATTCTTTTTTGGTATATGTCTATAATTAATTTGGCATATGTCTAAGATTGAAGGCAAAAGGAGAAAAGGGTGGCAGAGGATGAAATGGTTAGTATTACCGACTCAGTGGACATGAATTTGAGCAAGCTATGGGAGATAGTGGAGGACAGAGGAGCCTGGTGTGCCGTATAGTCCGTGGGGTCACATGACTTAGCAACTGAACAACAACTATAACTGTAAACTAATTTTTGATCAAAGAATTTAATAATACAGCATGGCCATCATTCTGGACATTACTTCTCATTATATGTGCTACCACAGATTTATAAGGTATGGGAGGGACTTCCCTGGTGGTCCAGTGGCTAAGATTCTGCATTCCCAGTTCTGGGGGTCTAAGCTTGATCCTTGGTCAAGGAACTAGATCCCACATGCTGCAGCTAAGACGTGTTCAAGCCAAAAAAAATGACATTGGAGCTTCCCCATAGAACAGACCACTGCCATAGGATTAATCTTAAAGGTTAAAATAACATGGAACATGGCTGTACTTTGGTGTGTTTTTTTGCTTTATCTAAGTTGAAAAAATGCACCGTGGTTATTTATATCAAAGTTAAGAGATTTTAAACAAAAAATAAAACAGTAAGTTGAATGAAATGAGCAGAAAATGATTTTTATAATGGGGCATGTCTCAGTAGTCTCAAACAAAAATATTTTCCTTTGCAATAATGTACAACATAGTTGTAGAATCAAGTTTTCAGGGTGAATGGTTGATTGTACACTTTTTAAAGCTTTGAATTGTTGTGATAAGTAGATGGCCATAGCACAACATGACCTGAGAAAATTGGTACTGAGAAAATATGTCCTTATAATATTAATGTTTTCATAAGTAATTTCCATCATGAAAATGATTTCTTACTAGATTTGGCCTGTGCCATGTTTTTGTAGAGTATTTGAGTATATTGTGTCATGGAAACAATTGGCTGTTAATCACTTTTATCTTATTAAGAGCATTTGAGAAATTCAAATAAGCTTAAAAATTTGCACATCTGTCAGACTCTAGATAGTAGCTTAAAAGGCTAAAAAAGACAGGAATTCTCTGGTGGTCCAGTGGTTAGGAATCTGTACTTTCGTTGCAAGGGGCACAGCTTCCATCCCTGGTCACTGTGGCCAAGGAGGGGGAAAGGCTTATATTAAAAAACATGTCAAATACTGAAAAGAGACAAAGTGTGTTAGAGTATTTTTCTTAAAATCTAGCTTATTTGTGTGATACTGAAAGCAAAGATGAAAGATTTTAAAATAGTATACTTATTCATACCTACACACATTTATTTAAAGATTAGTAGCTATTTTTTTTCAGTTATAGGAAAACTCCAATATTGTATATTCTTAATATAAAGACTAAAATTTCAATTAAAATAGAACTGTCAATTTAAAGGAACACTTTTTAAGGAAATGAGCATATTTGGTTTTCTCAAGTATCTAGAAACTTTAGATACCATCTAAGTCTTCCATCATTCTCCTAATGGTGGAAAAAAATAGAATAGGAGAGAAGAATGTACTTACTTAGGAAGTGACATTTTGTATCCTCTGAAACTTGTAATTACTCCTAGTGTAATTCATTGTGTTTTATGTGCTGCTGAGGTATTGATAGAAGATGTAAACAAACACTGTGGTGGAATCGTACAATTGTGGATTGTAATGAGGGTTTTGAATTCATGAGTACATTTTACTAATCATTGTCCTTTAGGTAAATAAGAGAATTTGCAGTATTTCTTAACTTTGAGGGGAAGAATATCTTTTTTTTTTTTTTTAATTTTTTTGCCATGCTGCATGTATGTGGGATCACAGTTCCTCAACCAGGGATTGAACCCTGGCCCCCGCAGTGAAAGCACCACATCCTAATCACTGGACCACCAGGGAATTCCCTCCATCTTCTATTTTACCGTAGTAATAATATGGCTCAGTGGTTCTGCTTGCCAGTGCCGGAGATGTGGGTTTGATCCCTGAGTTGGGAAGATCCCCTGGAAAAGGAAATGGCAACCCACTCTAGTATTCTTGCTTGGGGAATCTTGTGGACAGAGGAGCGTGGTGGACTGCAGTCAGTGGGGTCACAAGAGAGTTGGACACAACAACTAAACAAAAAAAGTTAAGACTGCTACCCCTGTTATCTGGATCATATATGTATGTTATCTAGGTCTCTTTCTGTAGACAATTAAATCTCTTGATCATCAGTTGCTGTAGAAAATTTTCTTTGCATGTTTGTTTGAATCTCACTCCTGCAGCTCCCTTTTCTCTGGTACACTGTCCCTGAAACCCACCTGCCTTATCAGTCCCTAATTGTTTCCTGCTTTCTCTATTCACTCAGACTGCCCCTGTTTGCAGACCATCATTAATTTTAAGCTAGTGAAGAATGGCATTTGGTAATGATCATCTATTTGAAGATTTAAATGGATTGTGATAAGAAAATGCTGGTAAAAATGGTGATATTAAGGCATTGGCTACTATATGTAAATTTTAGGGCCTTAACTACTCTGTGTAAATATTTAAAATTTAAGGAATCGAGCCAGTAAGTTTCTGTTGGGTGTAGTATTTTCCTCATTAGCATTGTAGTTGTGAGCAAAATCGAGATAAAGCCCTTGCTGTGAGTGACTTCATAGGCTAGTAAAAAGTAGTTCCTGGAGGTGTCTTTTTGATTAGAAAAATGAATTTTATTTTGTAAAATATGCATCCTCTGTTTGCTCTGAAATCTTTTAGATCATACATCTCTGATTTATAAAATGTTAATGTGAATATGTATCTTAATTGTTTTTCTGGTTCCATTTAAATCTGATATCCAAACCCTTGTTGCAGTGCCCTCCTCTTTTGTATCAACTTGTTTCAGTTTCTGGTCCCTTTTCTTAGCTGTCTTTGTTGACACCAATTTACAGTAGGGTGAAGAGTTACATAGATTAATGTGGATAATATGCATTATTCCCAGGCTCCATTTTTCCATGACATTTTTAAATGATGATGATAACTATGTCTCACTTCAGTTCAGTCGCTCAGTTGTGCCCGACTTTTTGCGACCCCATGGACTGCAGCACGCCACGCCTCTCTGTCCATCACCAACTCCCAGAGTTTACTCAAACTCATGTCCATTGACTCGGTGATGCCATCAAACCATCTTATCCCCTGTCGTCCCCTTCTCCTGCCTTCAATCTTTCCCAGCATCAGGGTCTTTTCCAATGACTCAGTCCTTCGCATCAGGTGGCCAAAGTATTGGAGTTTCAGCCTCAGCATCAGTTCTTCCAATGAATATATATTTAGGATTGATTTCCTTTAGGATGGACTGGCTGGACTTCCTTGCAGTCCAAGGGACTCTCAAGAGTTCTCCAACACCACAGTTCAAAAGCATCAGTTCTTTGGCACTCAGCTCTCTTTATAGTCCAACTCTCACATCCATACATAACTACTGGAAAAACCATAGCTTTGACTAGACGGACCTTTGTTGGCAAAGGAGTGTCTCTGCTTTTTAGTATGCTGTCAAGGTTGGTCATAACGTTTCTTTCAAGGAGTAAGCGTCTTTTAATTTCATGGCTGCAGTCACCATCTGCAGTGGTTTTGGAGCTCAAAAAAAAGTCTCTCACTCTTCCCCCATCTATTTGCCCTGAAGAGATGGGACTGGATGCCATGACTTTATTTTTCTGAATGTTGAATTTTAAGCCAACTTTTTCACTCTCCTCTTTCACTTTCATCAAGAGGCTCTTTAGTTCTTCTTTGCTTTCTGCCGTAAGAGTGGTGTCATCTGCATATCTGAGGTTATTGATATTTCTCCCGGCAGTCTTGATTCCAGCTTGTGCTTCATCCAGCCTAGCGTTTCTCATGATGTACTCTGCATATAAGTTAAATAAGCAGGGTGACAATAAACCGCCTTGATGTACACCTTTCCTGATGTAGATTTCAAATCAAGCTGGTGTCCAGCTTTTTTCCTTAGGGTCATTTGAAAATGACAGAAGTTGCTCAACTTTAAGTTACCATGTATCATAACAGTTTGACACGAAGGCAAGGCTCTGTGTGGTATTGCCTTATTCATTTTATAAAGGTTTTCTGTGTGTCATGTAACAGAGTTAATTATGCTCTCCAAACTTGAGTTGAACCCGCCCTCCGCACTAACCACCCTGCCATGCACAGCACTTTAATGGTGTGTTAAAAGAAAGATGCTTCATTTTCCTGTTTTGCATGGTGTTTAATAATCTTATGTTAAATATGTAAGTGGAAGATAATAATATATTTTTAATTTGAGAAACGTTTTGCTCTTAATGAAGAGATGCTAGAAGAGTCTGGTGCTTTTCTTAGAGTTTGGCTAGTGGTCTACTTTATCAAATGCTTCTCCTGTAATTCATTCTTTAAAAAAATGTTATGGACAGTATTGGTTCAGATTTATTTAGAGTATTGCTATCATAGAGATTAAGTTTTCCAACATGGTAAATTAACTATATTTCAATAAAAATGTGCAAGTAAATTTCTTGATGTTGTTTTTTCATGTTAAGAAGTTTATAATGTTTAATTATTTTCCACTAGGAAACCACCCCTACTCCGAATCCCCCGCCTACAGAGGAAGAGAAAACAGAATCTAATCAGGAGGTTGCTAACCCAGAACACTATATTAAACACCCTTTACAGAACAGGTAAGCTTTCTGACACATGGATTTTTTGACTTGGGCAACAAGGTAAATGGTGAATGGGACAGGTTTGGAGGGGAAAGTTAGATAAGACTAGTTTTAGGTATGTTAGGTTGAGGATTCCATTTTCTCTTGGATGACCAACGTCTGGCAAGCAGTTTTACATGTGAATCTTGAGCTCAGAAAGTAGAACTTTGAATGGTAGTTGAAACCAGAGTAGTAAATGAGTTCTCTTAAGTGAATTTGACTCACAACAGAGGCTTGGCATATTAGCACATAGGGGATTATTTTGGGTAAGAGTACCTGTGAAGAAAACAGACATGGTGCAAAGAGAGAGGGGGTTGGGCAGGGATGGACTGGTAGTTTGGAGTTAGCAGATGCAAATTATTTTATAAATAGAGTGGATAAACAACAAGGTCCTACAGTATAGCCCAGAGAACTATATAGTTAATATCCTGTGATAAATCATAATGAGAAGAATATGAAAATATATATACATATGTATAGCTGAGTCACTTTGCTGAACAGCAGAAATTACCATAACATTGTAAATCAACTGTACTTCAATAAAATTAAAAAAAAAAAGAATGCCTATGGAAGTGTATAGACATATATACTGTATAAACTAGGACAGAGTGTTGGTCACGGAAACCAAGAAAATGGTTTATTTTAAGGACAAGGTACAGCATATATGCCCCAAAAAGGTCAAATATTCATTGGATTGAACAGTAAGTCCTTGCTAACATTGGAGTTAGTAGAGTAGATGATGGAAAAAGATTGGTGTAGTTTGAAGAGTGAATAGAAATTATACAAATGTATAGAGCAGGAATAGGCAATTTGAAGGAGAAAGTTCAGATGGTCTGTGAAGGAGAAAGAGCCTAGGGTATGTGGAGTCTGGATATTGGTTGGTTTGTATTTTAAGAGAAGTTTAGAAGAGGAAAAGAGAGTTTTGGATGAGCTAAGTTTTCATAGTTGCAGTGTAGTAGTTTAATACTTCAGTATATGGTTTTTCCTGTCTCCGCCCTACCACTTCCCAGTATGTTTATGCTTTTACTTAATTATCTTTCTGGTTTATCTGATAAAACTTAACTTTAATTCACTGAGAGCTGATGGTGGGAAAACTCAGAAACATTTCCTCAGAATCTGGAGGAAAGTAAATTGGATAAATTAACTTTCGAGGATCTTTAATTCCTTTCATTCCCCCTCTCCCAGACCCCACAAGTCTATAATTAGGTTTCATTTATTTGAAAAATGTGTTGTCCCTTTATGTCCTCTTTTTCCCTTCATTATCATTGTAGACCTACTGAAGTAATAGTGCAAATATGTTTTGGTAGTTTTTTCGTAGGAGATAGTTGATTCAGCATACCCTCCAGGAAGGAACAAGTCAGTTCTCTAGATTCTGTGGATTGTCAGCCAGTGTGTGAAATACCAAAGGTCAAATAGTTGATAAAAGGAAAAAATTCTTCTTCAGGAAAACATTGTGCCAAAGTGATACTAAGTTGTACAATTGATTAGTGGCAGTTTTGTATAGTTCATCCTAGCAGCAGTACTAAAACCTTTTTTTCCCCCCCATCTTTTCAGTGGTATCGTATAAAAAGCTCACTGTCTTCTGTCTGTGAACACAGTTCTTCATGTTGCTCTTATTAGGAGATCAAGACATATATCCCTCATAGCTTAAGATGAAATCTGAGATTCCTGAAAGGTGCCCTTATCAGTGAACAAACTGATTAAATCCTAAAATGAAATGTGAGGATTTTAATTTCTCTATAATTTCTATTTCTTGCATAAAATAATATCACATTGAAAACTGTTGTAAGACATTTTTGGTTCTGATTTTGGTAATTGCTTCATTATTTACTTTTTGTAAATAATTTTGTAAGGAATTATGTTTTCTTTAAAAGAAAACACCACTATAGTATTGTAAGAAAGATTAAATCATCGAGGCATGAACTATACAAAGTGTAAGTTCTCTGTTTTTCTCTGATTCCTTCTTCCCCATTTTGTTTTGCTCCACTCCCCAAAATAGTGTTAAAAATTTGGTTTGTGTTTTTCCAAAACCTTTCAATGTACATGTATATACTTTTTTTTTATACAGATTGCCATGCTATTGAGTTTTTTGTTTGTACATGTAAATTTTAAGTCTTTATTTTAATCGACAGCCTTGTGTAGTCCTGTATTTTATCAGGCTTACATTAATGAGTATGCAGATTTTTTTAATTTATGTATACATCCTTATATTTTTTTTACACTTGTGTGAATATAGTGGTATATCTATGTGGTAAAATTTCAGAGTTCTTAGGTTTAAGACTGCCCATTTTACCTTTGTAGACACTGCCAAATTATCCTCCTTTATCTGCTTAGAATTACTGATTTCTGCATCCTTGCCAACTGGTGCTGTCAATCTGTTAAATTTTAATTGCCTGTCAGATTGGTTCTAGTCTGATTTGCGAAAACAATGTCTTATTGTTTTAAATGTGCATTTCTTCTATTGAAGTTTCAAAACAGTTTTGTTCAAGACAATTGCTTATTTGTGTTTTTACCTGTGAGAAGTCTGTTCAGTTCTTATTGTCTGTTATTTTCTTTTGGATTATCTTTTCAAGTTTATTTCCAAGATTGTACTTTAGGGATGCTAACCCATCCAAGGGGGAATTAGGTTGAAAATACGCTTCCAAATCATTTGTCTTTTAACATTGTCTAAAGAGTTTTGTTATTTTAAAGGTTTTTTATTTTCATATAATTAAATACCAACTTTCCTCCATGGTTTCTGGGTTTCATGTCAGTCTTAAGAGAATTTTACCCACACAGTTATCCTATTTTTTTTTTTTTAGCCCACACAATTAACCCATTTAATAGCAGCCTAGAAGTCTTCTTGCATGTATATATTATGTTTATTATATTTTTTAAGTTATTTATAGTAATTATTTAAATATTACTTCTTTGGGCTCATGACCCCTTTACATTCTTAAAAATTATTGAGGATTCCACAGTGTTTTACAGGTTATGTAGATTTTCATCTATTTTCATTTGCTATATTAGAAAATAAAATAATTCTCAAAAATATAAAATTACATATGTACTTAACCCATTGATTTAATGTAAATGATTTTTATGGAAAAAAATTTATTCAAAATAAAAAATACATAGTGAGAAGAACAGCATTTTTGTAAATATTTTAAGTGCCTGACTTAATAGAAATCAGCTAGGTTTTCATAGCTGGTTCTGCATTTTCAGTCTTTGGAGATAATGTTGTTTCAGAGGAAGTATAAGGATAAAGTATGACCTCAAATATACATGGTTGGAAAAGGAGAAATTTTAATGGCCTTTTATAATTATGACTATCTCCTTCCTTTGATACTAGGTTTCTTACAGGTTAGTTGCAATGTAGAATCTGAAACCACATCCAAGAATTTTTTTCTACTCTGTTACTTTAAAATCCATTGATCTGTCTTGCATTTGGAATATATCCTTCTTCACTCATGCATACTGCTGGTCATTTAGAAAATACTGGTTCAGTGAGTTTGTAGATTTAAATATTGGCATTTTTCATTATATGATATCAAAACAATAACCTCATCATTACTAAATGCCTCAGAAATGTCCCCAAGTTTTGTTAAATTGTCATGCTCAGTGGCACCTGCAGGCTTTGCAAAATTCTGATTTTTCTCCTGAAAGCTCAAATTTTAGCAAGATGCTCACTGTTGATTTTTCAAGAAGTAATCATGATTGATCATCCTATTCTTCCAGTAAAAGTGGTGTTCTTTGAAAAAGCAACTAGTTCTCCTCACAACTTAATTGCCTAAGCATTGTATTTTGTGTGCAGAAGTATTTTTGTGCAGAAAAAAACATGTACACAAATTGAAATTTAATAAAACAAGTATTTTATTACTGCTTCATCAGTGGCATTCTTAACTGAAACTGACAGTTATTCCTCTGAGAGTTGATGATAATACAGGAACAGTGACAAACAGTAGACATGGGTGCCACTGTATGATTCTTGTTAGGCACATCACCGCTAGGTTTGCTGTTGTTTTTGCATCATCAGTGAAAATGTCAACACAGTGAAAAATAAAATATCTTAGGATTTTTATGAAATGGTTTTTACACATCAGTGCTCCTGTGAAAGGGTCTTAAGATGCCTAAGGGGTCTTGTAAACCACATTCTGAGAATTGTTGATAGGCACTTAAGATGTTTCCAGTTTTCCAAATTTAAGAACCTTATTGTACAAATATTTTTGCTTAGTCTTTTCTTAGAATAAACCTTTAATGGCTGAATGCAATTTTTTTTTTTTAAAGATGGAATGGAATTTTATTATTTTCAGTTGAGGTGTAACAATTTCAAATGTACAACACAGTGATTCAGTATTTATTTGTATGATGGAATGATCATAATCAACATCTATCACAATACATATTTATAATTTCTTATAATGAGAACTTTTAAGATTTAGTCTCTTCACAACTTTGAAATCTGCAGTGTAGTATTATGAACTATATTTACTATGTTGTACGTTGCATCCCCATGACTTATTTATTTTATGACTGGAAGTTTGTACCACTTGATCCCCTTCATGCATTTCCCCACCCCTTTTCCTCTGGGAACCAGCAATCTGTTCTCTATATCAGTGAGCTTGGGGTGGGTTTTTTTCCTTTTTTAAAGTTTTTTTTTAGATTCCACGTATAAGCACAATCATATAGTATTTGTTTTTCCTGTCTAGTGTGTGATTTATTTAGCTTGTTAAAAAGTTCTGTGGTCCATCCATGTTGGAACTAGCAAAATTTCCTTCTCTTTTATGACTGAATAATCCATTGAATATACACATTCGTACATACATGCATATTTTCTTTTTTCACCCCCTGGTGAACATTTAAGTTGCTTCTGTATCTTAAGCTCTTGTAAAGCTACACTAATCATGGGGATTCATATATCTTTTTCAAGTTAGTATTTTCACTTTCTTCAGATAATACCCAGAAGTGGAATTGCTGGATCAAATGGTAGTTCTGTTTTTAATTTTCTCAGGAAAGACTGAATTAGTTTTAGACATCCAGGGTATAGTACTTGAGACTGTGTGTTTAGTAGTTTTTCTGCCTTTGCTTTTTCAAAATATTTTTTTCCTTGATCAGCGGTTGGCAAATATACGTTACCAAGTAGGTGTTGAAATGCGTCTCATTTTTATGTCTGAGATTATCAAGCATTAATCATAAAGTTATAAAATATATGTCCACTTGGAAAACTGTCTTCAGACAACATTTTTATTAATAAGTGAAACTCAGTGCTGCTTTGAACATGGATGTAAAACTTCTGTTGACACTGACTTTCTGTTTTTAGATGGGCACTCTGGTTTTTTAAAAATGATAAAAGCAAAACTTGGCAAGCAAACCTTCGATTGATCTCTAAGTTTGATACTGTTGAAGACTTTTGGGCGTAAGTAACCATTTTAGGATGTTTGTTGTATTGTGTACTTTTTTATTTTAAGTTGTATTCACAAAAAGAAGGGTAAGGTGAAGAGTTAATATTTACTTTTTTGCTTGTCCATCTTCTCACAACTGTTAGAATTGGTGATTATTTCTTACCAGTTTTAGAAAGCTTCCATCTTGTCATCATTTAGCTCTGCCTCTTCTCTATTTCTTGTCCTAAGATATCATTCATTGAGAATCCTTTATTGTCACTGGAACGTCTCACAACTTTTAGGACCTTGTCCCCTTTCTTGGTTACCTAGGCAAATTTGCTCTATTTTTAGGTATTCCAGAGCTTTCTTAGGAAAAGAATGCTTTTCTTAGCATTTCTGCAGATTCTCTTTAGTATAAACTGTGGATTTCCTGTGATAAAGATTCTGAGATTTCAAAGGCTGAACTGCTCATAAATCAGGGTTTATCAAAGAATGACAGTATCTGTGATGATAGATAATTTTATTATACTTTGTGGTCAACTTAAGAATACTTGAAATATTTTTGAGATTTTGTTTCAGATTTAGCAATATAATTTAATTTAGAGCTATAAAGTTCTTTGTAGGAAGTTTTGGAATATTGATTCTTTAAAAACAGTTTAATATGTCTTATTTGCTTGAAAAATATATAGGGAGAAACTGTTGGAGAACATGAAAGATACAGTTTATTAAAAACATGTTTAAGAGCTGTAAATTATCTAGCAGTTATCTAAGTATTCTAAATTGTTCAGTTGGTATATTTTGGATCATATCAATGATGTGATTCCTATGTTTTAATGTTAATACTTGGGTGTATCACACAGATAGATTGTGGTTAGAAAATTATAAATTAATAGATTAAAAATTTTATACATATGATGTATACTTCCAGCATATTAGGCATTTAGTATGCATTTGAGTCACTGAAAGCAAACAAAGCATAGAATAATTAAAGAAAATATGTTGAGATCACTTTGGTCACTCTTAATTGAACTTACGGGCTTTTTTTTAAAAAGTTTTTAATTTAATGAAAACATTTTTTTTTAAATGAACTTCATTTGAAACTCCTAGTAATTCATAGGTCTAGTTAAATTATGATTCTGTTCTGCCCTTCATCAAAACATTGAGTGTTTTTCTTCTCTAGTTGTTTGTTTTCCTTCTCTAATTGTATTTTTTCAAGAGTTTTCTGAAACATAATAGTCTCCAGTACCCTGTGAAGGAGGGAGAGCAGAGTCCTGAGCTGTTCTCCCACTGAATAAGATTTGCATTTATCTGAGTTTGTTTGGCTGTCACCAGTTTTACATAATTATATCCCTAAATGGCCTCTAATTAGAACATGACGCCACAGTTTTTAGGCATGTTGTAAGCAATATTGCTTAGTGGATTTTTATGCTATAATTGAGAGATAAATCCTTAAGCTTTCTATCTTTGTCACTTCTTAGTTTCTCACTTTTGGGGGGCAGATTTAATGAAACAGCCATTGAGGTTTGTTGTTTTTAATCTAGTCATGTCTGTAGCATTAGGATTCTATTTAAGTGTGCCATTACAGATTCTAATTGTAAACTTAGTAAGAGACCTTGGAGCATGATTAAGGAGAAAGAAGACAGCAGAAAGCAGCATTGGTCTTTTCTGCTTTGAATGCCATTGAAGAGTGTCCCTTCCACACTGGCCATTAATTGTGAAGAAATGGGGGTTCTAATTCTGTAGGTACTGTTAGTATCCATGTCTCTCTTCTTGCCTAGTGGAATCTTGTCAGTGATAATCTAGTTGGAAAGAGTTAACTATTAGATAGAATAACCCAGCAAGCTGTATGCTGTCTTAATGCTCTCTCATTCAAACTGGATTTGTTGTTAAACTGTGCAATGTCATCCAAAGAATCCTTGACTCTTTCTTAAAACTCTACTTGAAGTACAGACTGGGTTAAAATAGCAGTAAGAAAATCTTACTAAGGAAAATAATACCATCTGGGTGGTATTATTGCTAGTCATATAAGATCATCACTTCTGTATAAAATACTGGAGACAGAAAACATTCTTACTCTCTTGCCAGTTTTATAACAATTTTGCTATGGTAGACTTCAAGAGATCAAATGATCCAATCTAGCATTGTACCTTCAGGCTAGTGGAATACCTAATTAATCCCAAATGTTTAATCTGTTACATTGCTATTTGGGAAATAGTTTAGAAATACACATTCTGTGGTTCCAGCCTATATTTAAGGAATTAAAATTGTAAGAAGTAGGATGTGGAACTGTTCTGTCTTTAAAAGTTCCCCCAAAGATTATTATGCTTGCTGACTCAAACTAGTAATGGTGTGTGGTGTTTGGGGACCACTGATCTTTTCCACTCTTGCGTACTTTCACAGATAATAATAATGTTGACTTAGTTTAGTCATGCAATCCTGATGATCAGGGAGTTTTATCTTACTTTCTGTAGATTTGTCTCTGTGTGTTTAAAACTGCCTATTAGCCTCATGGATTCTTTCATTTACTTAAAGCCATCTTGTACCTCTCTTCTCAGTTTCTTGTAATGTGTACATATTAAGTTAACTAATATATCAGAATTGTCAGAATAAAATCACTGAAGATATTTTCTAAAAATCATCAGATGTTGATTCTTAAAGCTGACTGTTATTAAGATCTGTTTGGTCTGTTTCAGAAATTGACTCTTTAGGGGGAAGAAAGTAAACGCGTTTTTATCTTGTTTATTTTTATCATATTCTCTGAATGTGCATACAAACACCTAAACTCTGCACTACATTTTCTATGTTTATAATTGTTCTTTTCTTTTACCTAGTCTTTACAACCATATCCAGTTGTCTAGTAATTTAATGCCTGGCTGTGACTACTCACTTTTTAAGGTATGCTTAATTGGTGACTTCATATATTTATTATAAGACTGGACCATTCAGGTATTCATTAAAATCTTATCGTGAACTTAGAAATAGTTAATGTTGTGATGCTTGGAGAATAATTGTATTAGCTTTACCATATTTTAGCGTTAGTATATTTTGGCTTCTTTTAGTATAAGTAATTGAAATTAAGAGAGTTTGGCTGTATGGGCACATACTGTGATTGATTTTGAAGAGAGCTTTGATTATCCGGTCCTATTTCTTCCTTATATACTTGAGTAGACTGAAGTGCAGAGTTTGTCAGGAGTATGTGCGTCCTTGAGATACTTTTATGAGTTTTGTCAGCTATTAGTGGGTGGGACAGTCATTAGCTCTCTGAAGTGGTGTAACTTTTGTATTTTTTAGATATAGAAATGTGTATAGCTTCTCAAAGGTGTATATTACTCAGAATGTTTTAGAACCTCCAAATTAAGTCAAACCCAATATTTGATAGCTAGTAAGTGCCCTAATCAGGGCTCTGTTCTTGCAATTCCATGTTTTTGCAATCCCATGCCTCTAGCTTTAAGTTTTGTGTGCTTTCCCCACTACCTCAATAACAGTTTTATGAGTATAAAGTAAACGATTAACATGGTTGTTGCTTACTGTTTTTAGTATTACCTGATATTAAACTAACAATATTGTTGTATCCCTAACCTTGCAGGATGGTATTGAGCCTATGTGGGAAGATGAGAAAAACAAACGAGGAGGACGATGGCTAATTACACTGAACAAACAGCAGAGACGAAGTGACCTCGATCGTTTTTGGCTAGAGACAGTAAGGTTTTAAAATTATAAAGCCGTTTCACAATACTAAAACTGTGTTACTAGTTATTCAGTTGCTAAGTTGTTTCTGATTCTGTGACCCATTGAACTGCAGCACTTCAGGCTTCCCTGTCCTTCACTATCTCCCATAGTTTGTTCAAACTCGTGTCCATTGAGTCAGTGACACCATCCAGCCATTTCATCCTCTGTTGCCCTCTTCTCCTCTTGCCCTTAATTTTTCCCATCATCAGGGTCTTCTCTAATGAGTCAGCTTTTTGCATCATGTATCCAAAGTATTGGAGCCTCAGCAGCAGTCCTTTCAATGAATATTCAGGGTTGATTTCCTTTCGGATTGATTGGTGTGATCTCCTTGCTGTCCACGGGATTCTCAAGCATCTTCTACAGCACCACAAGAGTCTTCTCCAGCACCACAGTTGGAAAGCATCAATTCTTCGGTGCTCAACCTCCTTTATAGTCCACCTCTTACATTCATACATGACCACTGGAAAAACTATAGCTTTGACTAGACGGACCTTTGTCAGCCAAGTGGTGTCTCTGCTTTTTAATATGCTGTCTAGGTTTGTCATAGCTGTTCTTGCAAGAAGCAAGTGTCTTAATTTCGTGGCTGCCGTCACTGTCCACAGTGATTATGGAGCCCTAGAAAATGAAGACTGATGCTTGTTTCCCACATTTTCCCCCTCTGTTTACCATGAAGTGATACAACCAGATGCCATTATCTTCATTTTTTGAATGTTGAGCTTTAAGCCGGCTTTTTCACTTTGCTCTTTCACCTTCATCAAGAGGCTCTTCTTCATTTTCTGCCATTAAAGTGGTAGAAAACTTTGTTGCTTTTTACGTTGGTTACTCAAAGAGAAGATAAGGATGCCACTCTAGAAATCTAGATCAGCACTTAATTTTGTTCTATCATGTGAATGAATCTTATATACATTTACATACTAGTACAGTAAAATGCCCTGCCACATATTACAAATCCAGAAAGTGATTGGCAGTTGACTGACTTTCCAGAGTAAGGTCATCCTAGTTATTTCACTAAGTTCAAAATTATGGTAACTTTCACATTTTGTATGATACAAGTTTTTACAGTCCTTAGAGTATTGCTTTAGGTACTCAACTTTTTAGATCTGTGAAGGAAATAGTGAAATTGTAGCTTGATATCATTCAGCTTATATGTTATGATGTAATTTGGAACTTTTGGCTTCGTATGACGTTTATTAAATTGAGATAATAGACATGTTCTCTAGTGAAAGGTTTTAAACCCCAGGCTTTTAAGGTCAGGGATTATACTCTTTTTTGTATCCTGAACACTGGTCTGGTCTGTAGTTAGTTTTTTTTTTTTAAGTTCTACCAGTTTATTGCTACCAACCCACCCTCGTGCACACATGCTCAGTCATGTAATCACATGGACTTCAGCCCGCCAGACTCCTCTGTCCATGGATTTTTCCAGGCAAGAATACTGGAGTGGGTTGCCATTTCCTTCTCCATGTAGTTAGTGTTTTAAGCATGCCACATGGCATGCACCATCTTAGTTGCCTGACCGGGGATCGAACCCAAGCCCCCTGCCATGGAAGCATGGAATCTTAACCACTGCACCACCAGGGAAGTTCATGGTTAGCACTTACTAAATTGAGCAATAATAAATATTTCAGTAAATGGCTTTTATTGAGGAAAAAAATTTTCTTTTGGGAGAAATTATCAGTAAATACCATTTTAGAACTCTTTTATTAAGTCATTTCAGTTTTGCAAGATGACAAAAGTTGTGGAGACGGATGGTGGTACAGTGTGAATATAAATATACTTAATATCACTAAACCATTCACTTAAAAATGGTTAAAATGGTAAATTTTATGTTATGTATTTGCCATTTTTTTTTTTTTAATTAGGGAAAGTTCATGAAAAGCAACAAAAACGAGGCATTTCATCCATGCGCAACTTTTCATTTATTCCATTAAAACTTGTTTACTGGCAAGTATAAGCAGCAGCAGAGCAAATGAATATTAATAAAATAATTCAATTTTTATGTGCCGTGACATCAGTTGCCCAGTTTACTGAAAAAGTTAACAAAACTGTTAATGGTTTTGGTATTAAAGCATCAAATTAAAAAGGCCAGGACAAAAAACTATATATATAAAACTCTTAATTTTAAAAACTTTCTTAGCTTTGTATATAACTATATGAGACATTTTGCAACTTAAGAAGCTGTTTATAATCTGTTGAGTGTAATTTGAAATTGAGTTTTTTCTTTTAAGCTGCTGTGCCTTATTGGAGAATCTTTTGATGACTACAGTGATGATGTATGTGGAGCTGTTGTTAACGTTAGAGCTAAAGGTGATAAAATAGCAATATGGACTACTGAATGTGAAAACAGAGAAGCTGTTACACATATAGGGTAAGTTTTGCTGTTTGTGTACTTTTAAAATAGATAACTAAAAGCAGAACTACTTTTAAAAAAATATGTTTATGTAGATCATTATTTTTCTTGTTTTCATGAACACATTTATAACCTTGAACTGCTGTACTGGTGTTCTGTATCTGGTTCATCCTTTTTCATTTCTGTAAAATTTCTTTTTCCTTTCAGTGGAGTATAGAATCACTGGAACACTATTTTAGCATGTCACATTTTATTTATCAAATGAGAATGTGTCTTTTCTTTAATGTACTTTAAAAACCACAGTGCTAATGTATAATACTCAATACATTGGTGAATATTGGCAAATGGTATATGTGTATTTTGCCACATATGTGTACACTTACATGAAATTCCCATTGAGATATAAGTGACAGTAGCTTGGTTTTGTCCATGCTTAAAGCCCACATGTATATATTTTAAAACTTTTTTGGCAAATACTACCATTTGCAAAAATTGCCTGTTACTTTTTTCCCCCTCAAATGTCAGTCAATGTTAATTTTTACTAAATTTAAATTAGTAAAACTGAACTTTAAATTTTATGTTGAAATTAAGTATAGGTCATAGGTCTCAATATGTTTGATTTGCCCCTTTGTATGTTGATTTTTCCAACAATATGAATTCTATGAACATAATTCTTTTCTGGCAAGTATAATTAAAAGGTGTGGGGATTTTCTAGGTTTCATTTTCCAGAGGGTTTCTATAAGAGAAAATTGATAATTGATTGTCGTCGTATTCCTGATCTTTTTGTCAGCATTGAATCTTATTGATTGTGGGGATCTCATATTTCTTTGAAAATGCATTAAAGAAATTAGATATGAATTTCTTTCCTCAGGAAGATTTTTAATTGTGTCAGTCTTAACAGTTTTTGAAATCTTTATTTAAACATTTGACTTCAGTTTTTCAAGGAAGGATATTTTTCCACCCTTTTAAGTTGCATGGCTCAGTACTCTTGCTTTCTGGCATTTTTAGTGATTAAGTATAATTGAAGGTACATTGTATCCTAACGTCAACCTGATATTAGTTGTAATTTTAGCTATCATAAAATTATTTTTAAATACCTTATTCTAGGGAAGGTACTGAAATCTTCTGGAGGGTAGAGTATGAATAAATTTTCCTAGTATACTGGAGGATTCAGCTCCATGAAAAAATACATAGCTTTATTTTTGTTTCATTTGGTGCTTATTTTTAAATTTTGCTCTTCTTAGATACCAGGTTTCTAGCATGACCTGTGATATTCTCAGATCATATGGTGATCTGTGTCCAGTTTTACCTTGTCTGCCTTCTCTCTCATATTTACTTTTCTTGCGAGCTATAGCCACTGAGCTTTACTTTTATTTCTCAGCCTTCAGATGTGTTTCATTCTCTCAGCTTTATACTTTTGACTTCATAAATTTAAAAGGAGAGATTTCTTTGTTTTCCAGGAGATTAGATCATTCTTGTTAATGATATTGCAGCCCCTGTACTTACCCTCCTTGATACTCATATTTGTCCTTAAAATAGAATCACATATGATTTGAAAGTATTACAAATTGCCTTCGAAGTGTTCAATTTTTGAGTGTGCTTTCTTGTCAGTAATAGATAAGGTAAATGTAATTGCAGTAACATAAAATATTAATTAAAGTTTATATGTAAAATATAATTGAAGCATGTTAAATCAAACAGTGAAAATAGGTGCATGTAATTGATTTTACACAAATTAATTTTGCATGTGATACAGCTCCACCATGTGTATTTGTAATTATTTGTTTGTAAAGAATCAAATACTCTATAAACTATAAATACCATGACCCCAGGGACTGTCCCTGCTTTGCTTATTATTAATTTATTGATAATTACTGCAGTACCTGGTACATAGTAGATTCTCAAATATTGGTTAAGTGATTAACCAAGATTGTAGTGGAAAGGAAGAGTATGTTTTGCTAAAGGGAAAATGTGCAGTTTCTTATTTCACTCTCTAGTTTTTTTTTTTAATAAAGAATAGTAATGCTGGATTTTGGGTGTATGTTTGAATAAAAATTAATGGCTACTTTTCTTTTTCTTCCTCTAGGAGGGTATACAAGGAAAGGTTAGGACTTCCTCCAAAGATAGTGATTGGTTATCAGTCCCATGCAGACACAGCTACTAAGAGCGGCTCCACCACTAAAAATAGGTTTGTTGTTTAAGAAGACACCTTCTGAGTATTCTCATAGGAGACTGCGTCAAGCAATCGAGATTTGGGAGCTGAACCAAAGCCTCTTCAAAAGCAGAGTGGACTGCATTTAAATTTTATTTCCATCCAAATGTTGCTAAGATATAAGAGAAGTCTCATTCACCTTTGTCTTGTACTTCTGTGTTCATATTTTATTTTTTTTTTTTTGGCTAGAGTGTCCATTATCCCAATCAAAGAATTACAATACACATCATCCCCAGAATCCATAAATGTGTTCCTGGCCCACTCTGTAATAGCTTAATAGAAATAACCATTACAAACACATTTGACCCATCTACAATATTAAAAAAAGAAGAACTTGCATTTCTATACCTTACAAGAGAATGATTTTGTTTACGTTCCATTGTATGCAGGAGCATATTTTGCTGGTTTGAAAGAGTATGATGCATACAGTTTTCTGGCAATTTTCTTTGTTTCTTTTTACAGCATTATCTGTGCTGTACTCTTGCTGATGGCTGCTAGATTTTAATTTATTTGTTTCCCTACTTGATAACATTAGTGATTCTGATTTCAGTTTTTCATTTGTTTTGCTTTAGTTTTTCTTTCTCATGTAACATTGGTGAAGGATCCAGGAATATGACACAAAGGTGGAATAAACATTAATTTTGTGCATTCTTTGGTAATTTTTTTTTTGTAACTTAAACTACAATGCTTTGCTACAAATTTATGCATTTCATTCAAATCAGTGATCTATGTTTGTGTGATTTCCTAAACTTAATTGTGGATTATAAAAAAATGTAACATCATAATTACATTCCTAATTAGAATTAGTATGTCTGTTTTTGTATCTTTATGCTGTATTTTAACACTTTGTATTACTTAGGTTATTTTGCTTTGGTTAAAAAATTGGCTCAAGTAGAAAAGCGGTCCCATTCATATTAAGACAGTGTACAAAACTGTAAATAAAATGTGTACAGTGAATTGTCTTTTAGACAACTAGAATTGTCCTTTTATTTCTCCATCTCTGTAGAAGGAATTTGTATTTCTTATTGCAAGGCAGTCTCTATTGTGTCTTCTCTTGTAGTGTCTTCCACATGAACAGCAAAAGTTTGGAGCATTAGTTTGGTTATTTTGTTTAATTTTTAATAAATTGAATAGGTAGCATCATATATATGAAATTAAATTGATGTGGCTTTTTTTTTTTAATAAGGCGCAGTCCTTTAGTCTTAGGTAAATAATGTACTCTTAATATGTTAAAAATCATGAAAATTGCGACCTTGATGCATCACCATTTAATTGGTAGGGATAGTAGTTATAAAACTTGGTTGTTAAATTGAGATGTTCTTTAAATGTCAAAATAATAGCATAGGGAAAGACTTGTAGGTGATGGGGGTGTATGCATTAAGAACTTTGTTAGTGTTGCTGTCTAAGGAGAATTGGAATAAACAGGTTATGAAGACTCATATTTTTAATGATAACTGGTGTATGGCTTTATGTAAAATTGAAAACTTGATCTACCCTTTAAGTGAATTTGAAAACAGCTTGTCTGTAATGCATAATTGTATATTTCAGATTCGATAAAATGAAATATAACTATTGTAGACAGAAGAGTGAGCTTGAACTGTAGGTAGAATAACCATTAGTTGAGAGGAAATTTTGTCTCTAGATGGTGATTATGAATTAACTGGTAAGTTTGACAAAAATCCTATGTAAAATAAACGTGAAATTTATAGTACTGAGAATTTGAAACCGTTTAAAGGGTACCACAAGCTACCATCTGAGTACTCTCAATACCACAAACACCACTTGTTCAGTATTCTATAAATACTGTGTCTTATATATTTATAATCTCAATATATATACCTAATAATATCTTGTTTAAATCTGGGTGATTGGTTAAGGTGATTTATTGTCTTTTGGTATATGTAGTTGTGAGCACTTCAAGAGCTTGCTTAAAAGTAACAGTGGTAGTGTTAGTATGTTGGCAGTGGGTGACATTGGAGGAATGTATCAGAAATCAGTGCTTTATTCTAGGATGCAGTCCTTTTTAAGAGGTATCAGCCTTTGAGAGTAGAGAAGAAATAATGCATTAAATGTACACAGTTCTAAATTGTTAAGAATCCTAATTTATGGCATTTTATTATCCTCCTCATTATCAGCTGAGAACCACAGTTGGTTTTAAGTCTTTTTTTTCCAGTATGGGTGGAATGATTCTGAGTGTCTTTTGGCAAATATCACTTAAATACCACAATAACTTTCAAAGTTTATAACTATTAGCATCTTTTCTAAATATGATTAGATTATGCATGATTTTCTAATTTAGTTTTTCCTTTTTGTTCAACAGGATATTATAGCTTAAATATATTTTCATAATAGATTATTAAAACAATCTTTAATGAATAATTAGTATTTCATCATAAGGATATGCCATATTTCATTTAACCAATTTAACTGTTAAAATTCTAGTTCTTCAGAAGGATTTGAGTTATACTATGAAAGAATCAAAAAGTTAAAAATCCTTACTTCGTACTTACTATGTGCCAGGCAGTGTTCTAAGCACTTCATATGCACTTTAACCTGCACAATAATCCTTTGATGTAGGTGCTCTTACCCCCTTTTTACAGATGAAGAAACAGTGAGGATTTAAGTCACTTAGTATGGATTTGAGTCCTGGAAATTTTGTTCCAGAAATTCTGTAAAGCACATGATACGGTCTCAGAGGTATGGAGCCTACCTCATGGGCTACAGTAAATTGTACCAGATTGTAGTCAGTTTATATAGGTCAGAACATTTTAAATTTTACCTTCTTTGTAATGAAACATATAAGAGATGGGGAGTCTCCTGAGGGTACTCTGTTCACACTCAGCTAATTATTTGGCTTTTTTTCCTGAGAACATGGAGACAAAGGTACAGGAGTTTAGAGGTACATGGATCAAGTGAATATTTTCATATCCGGTTTTAAGTATCTATGTCCTGTTATCTTCTAAGAAAAATGGCAAAATAAAGCAAAGTTTTCAAGTTGAGATTCTTAAATGCTGAAGTTTGCATTCAAAAGGATAATTTTAATTTACTAAGGCAGTGTGATAATGTGATGTTTTACATTCTAAAATTAAAACAAGTTAATGACAAGTCTCTGTGCTACTTTTTATCTAATTGTTGGATTGGATTGTCTTCATTTACTGAGTTGAAGGAAAAAAGCTGAATTTTCTCACTCAAGAGTTAGACCCAGATAAATGCAAGGTTTCAGATCAAATTGACCCTAGGTAGTGCTAGCAGGCGTTTCTCTAGACCAGTATAGAAATTGTGTATCTAGAAACATCTACAGAAATCAGATATTGCTGTGACATTGTGTGTGTGGAAGTTGCTTCAGTTGTATCTGACTGTAGCCTACCAGGCTCCTCTGTCCATGGAATTCTCCAAGCAAGAATACTGGAAGTGGGTTGCTATGCCTTCCTCCAGGGGGTCTTCCGACCCATGGATCACACCCATGTCTCTCATGTCCCCTGCATTGGCAAGTGGATTCTTTACCTCTAGAGCACCACTTGGGAAGAAGTATGTGATATATATATTTACATTTGTGACAGGAGTGTGCATTTTGTGGTTTAAACCTGCTCCTTTATCACATACAATTGGAGAGACACACCTCTTAGGTTGTCGTCTTCAGTAGCCCAGATCAGCTCATTTGCCCATCAGTTGCTAAAAACAGCCAGCTCATTATCTGTACTTCTCATCTCACAGCTTAGTGTGGAAGTTTCAGCCCCAGTCTGTAGCATCTTGCAATAATACTTTTTTATATCTTTCTTACTGTGAATTTCAAAGTAGACATGAAGTAGTTATCCTAACACCTTGGATGGTTTCATGTTTTAATATTTTTATGATGCTTTATTTTACTGCCAGAAGCAAAAAAGTGAAACTGGGTGTGAGGTCAGATGTGCTATACCTTTCCCAATTCACAGGAACCAGATTCCATGTTTTAATTTTACCCCCTTTTCTTTTACTTCTGAGCTTGTAAATTCTTAATAGTTTTGCACAGAAGTTATATCCCTATTTTTCCTCCAAAAAATGCATTTTGAGTACCTCAGTTTATTGTGCTGTAGGTGCTGGGTGTACAGAAGAACACAGACTGGTCCGTGCTCTAAACTTTTAAAAGCAGGTATCCAAAATAATTCTATCTTTCCACAGTTTCTGCAAATAGCTTGTATTATTGTAATAGAGTTTCTGTTACTAGGGATTAGTAGTCTAGAGGTAAATATAAAACACTCTTTCAGCACTAACTTACAGTGAGTCTAAATGGGTCACACTACATAGGAGGACTCGACCAAACCCTCATGTGTAAATTACAGCTTTTGCAAGACCTCACTTCTACTTTACATTGTTGAAATCTGTATGACTCTCCAAGTAGTTTTGTGGGTGTGGCTCTTCTTCAGCTATGAGATTGTGCTTTTAAAAAATTTTGTTGTTTTAGCATATTTTTGAATTTGTTGAATGAAGCATTTTAAATGTGATTGTGTCTGCTTTGATGTGGTTTTGTAGATGGCAGTTCTCCGTTTAGTCACCTGGGTTTTTTTTCAATGTTTGATCAGACATAACACATACCTGTTTGACTATAGAAAGGTAGAAGGTGACAATTTCCTACCTCCTTCAATCCTACTTTTCTTTTTCAAGGTACCACTCCAGTTTCTTATATACGTCTAAGAATTTTCTCTGCATACACCAGGTACATGTGACTTTTTTCTTTGGACCCAAATCATTCAGCATTGCTTTTTCATTTAATAATCTTGAAAAGTTCAGTTTTATGTCATAGCACATAAAACTTTCATATTCTAGTGATCCATTATATGAATGTATGCCTTATTAAAGGACTGGCTTCCTGCCTTCCTTGCTTGTAATTTTTGCCTTTACAGTTTCCCAGTGTAAGTTGTAGTCTTATCTTTCTATAGTGTAATTTTTTTGATATGTGCAGAAAAAGCAGTTTCCATTTTTTTGTTGTTAAGTTGTGTCCACCTCTTTGCAAGTCCGTGGGCTGAAGTCAGCCAGGCTCATCTGTCTGCGGGATTTCCCAGGCAAGAATACTGGAGTGGATTGCCATTTCCTACTCCAGAGATCTTCCAAAACCAGGGATCAACCCTGCGTCTCACCTCCTGGCCAGGTAGATTCTCTACCACTGAGCAACTGGGGAATCCCTTTTCTTTAGCACTGAATGGACCTTAGTCTCTCTCTCTGCATTCCAAACCCAGACTGTTCTCATGTACATTAAAGGGTCATCTCCAGTGTTGTGGTTGTGTTCTCTAGGATGCTGCTTGGCAAGTTTTTCAGTTTTGGTCTTCATGATATTTTTATGATCAGTATTTTATTTTCTTCTAATGAGCCAATATTGTTTTAACCTACAAGTAAAATAGTTGTCTGGATTGAACTTTTTCCAAAGGATAAGCATTAAGTTGTTAATTTTGTTTTAGGCCTGTAAACATTTAAAAAGCTTGAATCAGCACTGATAACAGGACCTAGATTTGTTTTCAAGCCTCAGACTGAGTTTAACTTTGCAATTTTCTTTAACTGAGGACATTTCCCAGATTCATCCTTTATATTGTCATAAAAAGTTTCTTTTGGCAGTTGTTTTGATTTTAAGGATGTTTGTTTTTCATAAGTTCCCATTTCACACCACTTTTCTCCTTTGAGAGAATCATTATTTACCTTCTCCATGTTTTTTTTTTCAAGTGTTGCTATTTTATAAGAATTCTGATTTAAATGTTCATATCGTCAATCTTCACTATTCTTAAGTTATCCATACTGTCACTTTGTGACAATGGCTTCCAAATCTCTGTCTTTAACCACAGCCTTCCTCTTGTGTTTCAGATCCATGTTTCTTCATGCCTACTGAACCTCTTTTCAGAGCAGTAAACTACACCTCATAGGTCATGTTTGGCATGCATTCTGTTTTGTAATTAAAGTTTTATTAAAAGATGGACTTACCCATTTGTTCACATGTCTTTTTTTTTCCCCCTTTGGCGTGTGTTCTATAATGAGAGTTGACTAGTGACTAAGACAGGCCTGCAAAGTGTCGGATACTTACTACTCTTAGGACCTTTGTAGAAGTTTGCTGATTATTGCTCTAAATGTTTTGTGGTGACAGTGTCAGTAAATCTAAATGTCTTAACCCTGTTTTCATTTCCTTTTCACTTCCAGCAGGCCCCTAACCCTATTCCCACCTGATGACTTTGTCATTTATCCAGTCAACAAAGTGTGATTTGCCTCGATATTTACTTTTTTCCTCTCTGCTTGTCCTTGAGTCCGCTGCAGTTTCTCTTGATTGTCCACTGTATTGTCTGGGTTCTTAGCTTAAAGACATGCCGCTGAGCCCTGTTTTACTTTCTCCATGTCCTCAAATGTTCGTTGTTTATCTGTAAAGATTTCTTTTACTTTCTGAAAAGCAGCCAAGGTAACCAGAAGTCTGTAACTGGGAAACACTGGAGCTTATATACTTACTCTCAGAATGATAATTGGGTTTTTAACTATAAAAATGATTGCACAGTAGTTTCTAAATCATTTAGCAAAGCTTGTACTCACTCTATTAGGACTGTCTTAATAATACATTTTTTTGTATTACCTAAAGCAGCATGTGGTATGCCTCTTTGTTTCTTGCTTTATTATAGGAAGTGAAAAAATGAAGATAGAATGTGAGAAAAGATTAAGCCAGAAGTGAAGTTAGCATGCAAAATGTATTCCATAAAGCCCATTCTAATAACCAAATAAAATGGAGAAGCAAGTCCTTCAATGATGCTAATGTCATGCTTGGGCAATTGCCTTTTGTGAAAGACAATTTTTGTGGTAAGTATCCAGCTGGCTAGATAGTCAAATAAAGACGGGATTCAGTAGATGCTCCGCAGTAAAGGTGAAGGCTATGTGGCAACCTGCTCTGGAAAAGCACACACATGCTTTGGTGTGCTATAGCCTCAGTTCACGTTCTACTTCTGCAGTCTATTTGATGTACCAGCCTAGTCAAGTTAATTGAGATTTCTAAGCCAGTTTTTGTCATCTCTGAAACGAGTGAAACCTGTATCAGAGGGCAGTCATGAGACAAGGTTGGTTGTGTATAGTTCAGTGCTTGGTGCAGAACAAACCTGTAATGAATTTTAGCTTTCTGTAGGTCTTCCTTAAAAAAAAATCCTCTAGTATGCGTCATGCGGTGACTGACAGTCTATAGTAATTCTAGCTTTTATGGGCTTGTTTTTTAATAGCCAGTGTAGGCTGGTAAAATGATGCAAATTTTAATTTGCATAAATGCAATTTGCCTAAATATGCAATTTCATTCTATAAATGAAGTTGGGTGTGGGGCTTGACCACATTTTGAGATCCAAGTTTATAATCCAGTCCATTGTATATAGTTTCAGGGTGTGATGTAGTGGTTCTTAATTTAACAGTTTTGGGTGGAACAAAGTTATGTGTTAACCCCTCAAGGTGGCTATATGTATGTATCAAAATGTATTATTTAGAATTTCTATTGTTCTGAAGCCACTATATGGTTTCCTTGGGCTGAATGTCCTGTATTCTTCTATCAAGGACTCCTGAACTAGGAATGGTAGGGGCTGCATAATTTCTTAAACCAGTTATATATTGCATACTCATTATCCTTAAATGAAATTCATAGGTAATATAACTTGCTTACCACTTATTTAAGAAAACAATTCCCTATCTAGAATAATAGAGCTAATAATAAAATAAGAGGGGAAATTAGAGGGAAGTTTTTAGGGAAATTATTTTAGCTCAAATGTGATTATTTGAGGAAAGTAATCTGATATTTGAACACTTAGCCAGTATCAGTGTGAACATAATGACTCTAAATGCAAGTTAGCAAATTACTCTGAAATGGTAAACGATGCTTAGTTAAGTTCTAGACAAAAGTATACCTTTTTTCATCTTATACAAAATATTTCTGGAAAATTCAGTATATTAAAATTGTACAGAGAATATTTGGTGTTACATGTTAGGTAATACAGTTAGATTCAAATTTCAGTATTAGAAGTAGATTTTAAAACTTTTTACATGAATGGCTGGCCGGGTATTTGAATGTCATTTGGGATACCAGCTCTTGGGTGTATACATCTGTGTTATTGCTCACCCCTAATAATTCC